CGCTTCGTCTCTCAAAAGTGTTGTTCAAACAGAATGCATTTAAAAGAGTACTAAATGAAATTGGTGAGTTCGGTAAATATCGAGTTGCTATGCTGTACAGAATATTGTCAGCATCTCCAAATCAAGCGTTTGCATTAAAAAAGTTACGCTAAACGTTAGAGTTGTCCTAAGAGTGATTGGATAAGCATTTTGTCAAGGCGTAAATTTGATGAATTAAGAGACTGTGGCGGAACATACGTTTCGATGGGCCTCAACCGAGTATAGTTCCTCCACTGCCTTGGCAGTAGCAAACTCATGAATTTCAAAGCCAACATCAGCAAACATCCGTAGAAAGTCCACTTTATTTTTCAGAAATGAGCTCTTTACAAAAGGCGCCATTTCTTTGGGCTGCAGAGAAACCAAAAATTATTAGCATTTGGTGGAACTAAGGTTAGTCCTGTTCGCCATTAACAGTGCCTCTACTTGTTCATTTCAACACTTACTCATCGTGGCTACCACATCCATCCAACCGACTGACCTCCCATATCCACAATTTGACAATGAAATTCAACGAAAACCACAGTGCATGCTTACTGTCCACTTTGCGCCATCCAAAATCTTCTCTATCGCAACCCCCAAACGGTCCAGTTCCAATGCTATCTTAAGTCTTGGTTTCCAGGTATATTGAATTTCTTGAGTTTGAAAGAGAGCTGCAATGGGGAAAATAGGCAACTCAAATTATTGCTCCACCACTTAACTGAACCGTCAGGCAAGAGAACAGATACTAAACGATTAAGTTCCACAGTCTATTGTTGACCAAACATTGGTGATTTCAAAAGGGATTTCGTGACGATGAAGATTCCCTACCAAGTAAATGTTGGTTTTAACAGGGCCTAAAGGCAAAACTGACCTGGATTGATGAGGGATGACAAAATACATTCATCAAGTGTCCTTTCTGAGCCCTTGTCAGAGTAGAAGAATTCTATCAGCTGGGAATATGCCATTATTTTTAAAACCATATCGAGTGTATCCTGTTGGATTTCCTCTTCCTTCCAATGCTGAAACATTATTTCCAGGATTCTACAAGAATCATCGATCACTCATTTCTACCAATTAGTGTAAAACGTTAACCTAAATGGATTTTGAAGCAGTTGCTCGGTTTTTAAGAAATGCCCGTAGTTCTGTCGACAAAAATTTAACGACTTCTGTAAGCGTCTTCATCAAAACTTAGACATGTGTTATTCCAAAAGATGAGACTTTGCAGCACTTAGGTCTGATTTTTATGCGAAAATTTTATAGGGAGCAGAGGAGGAATAGGCTGCACTAACCTCTCAGACGATTCTGTTTCGTCGAGCTCTGTATCATCGAGCGCATTGTCAGCATATAGGTTTACACCACCTTCCAAGTACTCCATTTCCAAAACGCATCGCTCCAGAATAGATGCCAGACCGCCACTATCCTGAAGAAAACATATGTCAATCACAAAATCGCTAATGGCTGATGAGCTTCAATGACATCTACATAAAACAAGTAATTTGGAGAAGTTTCAAAATGTTTCAATGTTTATTTACAGTTTGACATTTA